ATATTATATTATATTATATTATATTAGATATATATTATTTTAAAAGTATATCTTTCGTGAGATTCTTGAATGTTAAACATAAATAAAAGTAGATAAGCAGATATATTTTATGAGATTCTTTAGTGTACAAACGTAAAAGTAAAAGGTACATTTTTATAAATAATTAGAGAAAGAATCTTATATTCAAAATGGATTTTGGTGCTTAATAATTCATATATGAATTTTTTAAAATATATGTTTAATAGCAAAGTTTAAATTTCAATTTTTGTTCTTAAAATTTATAAAAATAGACTTATTCTTTTCAATTGAACAGTTCGTCTTTTTAAAATTTTTTTCTCTTGAAAAAAAAAGAAAAATAAACGATACGAAAAATTTAGTTGAAAAGACAGACTAAATTAGCTAAAAATTTCAATTTAAAATTTCGATGCGTCTTTTTTCTTTTCCGGATAACAAAGCTCATTTATCTTAGTTCTTCAAAATCAAGTTCATCTTTTCATATCAGTACAGGTTACTACAGTTTTGAAACATTCCGTATGTTCTACAAATTTCTTTATACAAGAGAAGACTTCTCTGCCAAGGCATTTTTATCTGCTGTTTTTACACAGTATATTATGTAAATTAAAATCTCTTTACAGAAAAATGTTTCAAATTTGTTATTTTACAAATAGTCATTTAAAAAGTTATAATAAATTAAAAGTGGGCGAAATATGCAAATAAATTTTAATTTATTTTCTATTAAATATTTATAAAATGTTACTTTATTTCTTTCAATTTTCTTCACAAGGATGGCTTCACAAGGATCACGCAGTTATTTGGGCTTAGAAAACAAAGGAAAGGAGAAAGAATCTTTCATTTTCCGTTTTTCCGTTTTGTCTACGTGTCTACAAGACAAGCTAAGGAGAAAATTGGGAAATTATCTCCCCCTTCCCTTCCCCCCGCGAATAGAAGAATAACAATGTCCCGTCCTGTGCCTAGCAACTGCAACCGACGCGTACGTTCAACAAAGACATCGTCCAAGGACATAAAGGACGAGGGTTCAATGGCCGGTTTCAAGGCTATATTGCAAAGTTATAATAAATTAAAAGTGGGCGAAATATACAAATAAATCTTAATTTATTTTCTATTAAATATTTATAAAATGTTACTTTATTTCTTTCAATTTTCTATAAGGATGGCTGTTCACGCAGTTATTTGGGCTTAGAAGTTATTTGAACAAAGGAAAAGAGAAAGAATTTTTCATTTTTCATTTTTCCATTTTGTCTGCGTGTCTACAAGACAAGCTAAGGAGAAAATTGAGAAATTCTCCCCCCTCCCCCCCCGCGAATAGAAGAATAATAATGCCCCGTTCTGTGTCTAGTAACTGTAACTGATGCGTAGCTTTCAACAAAGACATCACCCAAGGACATAAAGGACGAGGGTTCAATAACCGGTTTCAAGGCTACATTGCAAAACTTTCTCGGAGCTAAATTTTTCTCGAAATACACGCAAGAATGGTGTCCCCTGGCCCTTCTGCACGCGGCACTACACACTCATACCGAAGTACACACATACGTGTTATTGGAAATAGGAGAAGGCGAGTAGCGCGAAGGAAGAAAATATATAGTAGACAATGCTCCGTCTATCAGACAATATCCGTCCGAATATTCTGTCCTTAGCGTAAGACTCACGATTGAGAGAGAAAGCATAATTGGATGTAATGCCAGCTCGCAGTGTCCTTTCGCTGTCTCACACATTTGTTATTAATACGAGTGAGATACCCTATCTCTTATACTTGCCAATAGTCATAATAATACTTTTATTATGCACAAAATGTTGTAATTATGCATAAAAATGTTTAATACTGTAAACAATTTTTGTGCATAATTACAACCTTACGTGTAATTTTGAAACTCATTGTAATAGCTTTGCATGCATTTATAAATTTGCAGTGTGGAAATGAAATTAATATTTTATATCGCAAGATTGCAAAATTAAATTTACAATTAAATATAAGAATATATAATAAAATAAATAAAAGAAATATGATATAATGTAATAATGGCCGCGCGCTTAACAAGAGATTCCTGCCGGTGCATTTATATGTAATATACTATAGAGTAAAATCTTCCTCGGAGAGGAAGTTTTGGAATGTAACCCAAAATTATCTTAAGTAATGTCTTAACTCAGCAAACGAGAATGGATTGAAATGGATTCAGATTTTCAGAAATATTGATTCATAAGTTAAAATGAATGCTTTTCGATCCTGAATGCATTTTTATTCATTTATAGGAATTGCATGGAGTATATCTCTATGTCTTTCAATCTAAAAATAATATTAGCTGCAGATGTTAAGCAATCAATCAGCGTTATTCTGCGTTATTCCAAATAGCACTGATTGGTTGCGTCTCTATTGCGCAATCGTTTTCCTCACTACGATGATTTCATCCTAAGAAGATCTTGAAATAAGAACTGACTAAAAGAACTGATAAATATTGGCCTCTGATTGGCTTATGACATCTTAAGACTGTATTTAAATAAAATCTCTTTACAGAAAAATGTTCCAAATTTGTTATTTTACAAATAGTCATTTAAAAAGTTATAATAAATTAAAAGTGGGCGAAATATGCAAATAAATCTTAATTTATTTTCTATTAAATATTTATAAAATGTTACTTTGTTTCTTTCAATTTTCTATAAGGATGACTGAGGGCGTTCAACAAAGACATCATCCAAGGACATAAAGGACGAGGGTTCAATAGCCGGTTTCAAGGCTACATTGCAAAGTAATTCTAAATCTAAGAATCGACTATGAATACCAGTCTTTGATTAGTTTGTGATTTTTTAAGACTGTACTTAAGCTCTGACTATAAATATCGGTCATAGGCCAGTATTCATAATCGGTTCATATTTTAAGACCGTCTTAAGTTATGTTTTAAGTCTGCGGCCCTCTGATTGGTTCGTGACTTTTTAAAACTGTACTGAAGACGGTCTTGAATATAAGATCTGGGGGCTTATTACTTTTTTTAGACAAAGTAAAAATTACAAAAATGAACAAATTCATTAGGTGTTAATCAATGAAATTATAAATATTCTAGTAAATTCGATTACTTTCGTAATTTTCATCTCGTTTCGAGAACCGTAATAAGCCCCCTAATTATAAATACCGATCTTAATAGTATCTTACAATTAGACTATGTTCTAAAACTTCTTCGAGGAAAATTTTACTCGAAATATATAGTATATGTAACGTGTACTATACATATAAAATAAAATCTTCCTCGGAGAGAAAATTTTAGTAGTCTTAGGACATTACTTAAGACGGCCTTAAATAAGAACGCATTAGGGCCCATATTTTGAATTCTCTTTTAAAAGCGTTTTTAAGCATGTTTAGTATCTGTAACATAACCAATATATTTAAAAGCGTCTTTGTTGATAAAAGAGTATTCAGAATATGTAACTATGAAAACTGCTCTTTATAATAGCAAGCAAAACGAACAGACTTACCGAATTTCATCTAGTGATTGGCGAGTCAGTTGACCAATCATACAGTACAGAATTTCAAAATTTATTGAAGCTGATTGGAGCTTGTGTGTTTTGGAAAATTCTCGTTTGTGCAAAGCACGTGGATCTTCAAAATAATAGATATATACACACACCCATGATGTAAGTTCAGCATTTATAATATACGTACGTATAGTGATTCAAAAAACTTTTTGTGATACGGTGCAAATCGGAACGAATTTCGAAAAAAAAATTATGGAAAATTACGCAAAGAAATGTTAGTTCTTTTGAAGTAAACAATTAAAGGAAAAGAAAAAAGAGGAAAGAGGTTACAGACGAGTTATACAAAAAGCAAATTTTAATTAAATGCACGGAGTGATATAAAAATTATATGAACACTCTTGATACAAATTTGGATATATAACGAAAACTAAAATTCATAATTTTTATAATTAATATAAATTTCTTGTAAGTACATTGTTCATAAGTAATAAAAATAATGTATAAATATATCACAAAATAGTAGTAGCGAAACTCTATGAACATTCTTATTGAAATTCAATCTTCGATTTTTATTATAAAGTTATTTAATGTTTTTACTATAAAATTATATAAAGGTATATAATGTATAAATTTTGATTGTTTCTCCTTTCTAGTTTCCACTATACTGATGAATGGTCACGAGTACAAGATGAACTTGCCATTAGTATACTTTGATATGTCTGCAGATGATAAACCACTGGGACGAATTATAATGCAATTACGGACTGACGTTGTGCCAAAGACATCAGAAAATTTTCGTGCCTTATGTACAGGAGAGAAGGGTTATGGTTATAAAGGAAGCTATTTCCATCGTATAATTCCAAATTTCATGTGTCAAGGAGGTGATTTTACGAATCACAATGGTACAGGTGGAAAATCCATCTTTGGAGAAAAGTTCGAAGATGAGAATTTCGAACTCAAACATACTTCCTCAGGTACATTATCAATGGCAAATTCTGGCCCGAATACAAATGGCTCACAATTTTTTATTACTACCGTAAAAACGCCTTGGTTGGACAACAAACACGTTGTGTTTGGGAGTATTCTTGATGGAATGGATGTTGTAAGAAAAATTGAAAGTTATGGTTCATCGAGTGGGAAGACATATCAAAAGATTATGATAGCAGATTGTGGTCAATTCTCATAAACATTAAATAAATAAGCAATAAAATAAAACATATAAAAATACATCAAGTACTTTTAGTTTTGTTTATAATTTTGAAACTTGCAGTTTTTTATTGCTTTATAAAAAAGTTGAATAATGCTAGAATAATTCTGCTTAAATATGTGAGGATATTAGGAATTCTAAACCAAGTTGATGCATTTATTTAGTTTTTAGATACATAATGATATAAAGTATTTTATTTAAGTATAATATAATATTGTGATCCTTTTTTTAAGCATATATAACAAGCAAGTATATTTTTTTGTGTAGTAAGATTATTTAGCTTTGCTTTATTCTTTTGTAATTTTGTTTATAACATGTGATTACTATGTTTAAGTTTGAAACTGATATTTTTTTTATTTTAAAGAAGATAATGAAGGATTTTATTATATATGTAATAACTTGCGAACCGATTTGATGTATTATACATATAATTATGTACAACTGATTCGAAGAAGACAATCGATCGAGAACGATTTTTCAATATCTCAATGTAAACAAATATTCTATATATATTCTTGTTTGTGAATTTTTTAAAGAAATTCGCAGTAATGGGATTTCAATTTCGTGATTTACTGTAAATAACTAAAAATTTTTTATATATTAGATATAAAAGCTAAATTTATATAAATTACTATTAATTATATTAACATTTGAAAAAATAAACAACTGTAAAAGATTATGATGCAATTTTTATGTGTAATTATATTTATAAGAATTATCATAATTATTCAGATATACTAATACTTAATATATTCAGAGGTTTTTGTTTTATCATAAAACAAAAATTATATGAATGTATTAGGTAACAGTTCATTTTATGACGTACAAATTTATACAGATATCAACGAGTATAAATATCGTTACTAATTACTTGTTAATGACACTGATATTATTACTACTCGATACATACTGGTAAATTAACAACGAAAAATGTGTTCAGTTCTACAACAGATGCGAATATCAAAAATATGGCATACATAACGAGACAGGTGATTCCAACTGTGCGACTTAATGTGAATTTGTTAATAAATAAAGCTCCGTATAGCATAATTAACGTTGAGAAGAGAGATACTGAGCTATAGACTAGCCCTTGAGAATTAATCTGAATATAATACTGTCCAGGTACTTTTGGTAATAGTGTAGCCTTAACAAACCATGGTAGTCCAAGACACAGTAAGACATCGAATATGTTCGACCCGATTGAATTACTTATCCCCATAGCTCCGTAACCTGGAAAATCATAATGATCTATATTTGAAGTGTGTACATATATTTTAAAGAAAAAAATTCATGTTAAATGAATTCTTGCTTTGTTGCGATAACATTGCTATTTATTGTTCAGAAATTTAATATTTGTACCTTGATTAGCAACGATAACGCTCGATACTGCTTCAGGTACACTCATTCCTGCTGCAAGGAATGTTAAACCCATAATGGAATCAGGAATTCTGAAGGCATCGCCTAAAATATAACATAAATATAATAGAAGCAGGTACTATTGATTGTATTAAATATACAGTACTAGATTCTAAAAAAGTCTGAAAAATATGGAATGTTAAAGGGATATTTTCAAACATAATCGAGTTATTTTGACATGATAACGTTAACATCATACAAAGTTTGATGTTTCAGCATTTTATAAAAATTTTTTCTTTTTTTGACAATGTTAATAATCTTAGTAAGCAAAATGTTAGCAGATTTAAGTACAATTTTGTAGCAGATTAACATCATGTATTTTTGCTTTCTACCAAGAGCTATTGACATTAGAGCTATTGACATAAGGCTGATAGATAATCTACTGTTAAATATAACTAACAGTAGATTATCTATCAGCAAAAAATGAAATTAATGATTTTACGATTATTTCAATGAAATATATCATTAATGGTAGATTCAGTTTGATATGGTTAATTTATCTTGTATTTTCTGAATAATTTCTGTTATATTGCTAATGGCATTCTTCCAATAAAACTTCCAGCACTTTGCAAAATCTATTTTCGACGAACTTGGCTATCTAACAATAATAAGATGTTAAATACAAATTGATGGCACTCACCAATAATAGTGATGACCCATCCTATGACATAAGACGAAATCCCAATCCATATCACGCACATGATGAATGTAAAGGAATACCAAGATTTTAGCTTTTTTCTTCTACAATCGGGAATAGTAAGGAGTAATGCCACGTTGATGGGCCAAGTAATAACCCACCATATCTTCTCGCATGTAGAGCTCGGCCAAGTTGTAATGTTGACGATATCATCTGAAAAGAGACAATATAAATATTTTATAACTATATCCAGATAACGCTAATAGTATGCAGCAGTTGCTAGAAATTCGATCATGATTCATTGACATTCGATGGTTTTAGAGATAACTATATCCATTGATTTGGCAAAAATAAAGATTTGTAAGTCGAATTTGCTGACAAATTCGATTATGATTTTAAACTTTTAGAGCAGATTTTTATCCATTATCTTGTCGAAAATAAAAATTGGAACTTAAATTGTAATTTATGTAAGAGAATAGTGACAGAAGTGTAAACAAAGCTTCTACAAGACAAAAATTAAGACAACGAAATATAAAGGAGAAGTTTTTTTTACATTTTGTTGGTCTCAATTTTCATTTCGCAGAAACTTCATTTACGCTTCTATCACACTCTTCTCCTAGATTCAACTTAACGCTTCGATTTTTATTTTCGCAAGGATGTGTCCTCTTTAAGCTTGATTTCTGCCATTACGACTTGCCATAATATAACAACAGAAATGTAGCAGGAATAGAGCATACCTTGCTATCATGATGTCATAATGCAGAGCCTGCTTGTTTTCTGATATATTTCTACCGATATTAAAAAACAGCAGGCTGTGCTTGGTTGTTGCTGGAGTTCTACTAACATAATATGTAATACACAGATTGCAATACATGCTTTTGGCAAGTTTGGCTATTTGGGATAGTTACATGTCACATCGTTGACTAATACGAGTCTTTCAATGTTGGAATTCCTAATTTGGAATTTCTTATCATAGTACAATATTATTATTTCTACAACAGAATCTTATTTGTTGCATCCCAGACTCATACTAGCCATTGATTTTTAACTACCTAAATAATAAATTTATTCAGATAAGTATTTTATATTACAAAAATGATTCTATTTAAAATGGTGCTATCAAGTAAGAGCTATACTGTATTAACGTGCATGCGTATTTTCGGATGAATTTAGCCGACACTATTATTTCTTAAATAATTTCCTTAAAGAAATCGTTTATATTTTGTATGAAAACTTTTAAAGTATATCTAATTAATAAAATTTGACAGTTATCCAGATAATTTTAATTAATTATTTTTGCATTACGCAAAGACGTTAATAAATTAAATAAAGTTTTGCTGTTTAAAACCATTTGTATTTTATTTGAAAAGTTTTGAAGAAAATATTTGATAATCATTTAATTAATTTATAAATTTAATTAGTTTATATTTAAAATATTTGATTTAATTAATTAATTAATTTATTTAATTTATTTTATATATTTTTTATATATTTTTATATTTTAACTACATAATTATTAATTATTATAATAAACTATTATATCGGCTTTAAGTTCATTCGAATTATACATGTGTGTATATATATATGTGCGTTTTAAGGGAAAAGGAAAGATACACTGCATTAAGATTGTACAAAGACACTGCAATACATAAAGTGCAGATTACACTTAAATATTATAACACTCGTGTTATGTGTGTGCTCTGTGAGACATACCTGACTCATCCTGGTCACTCGAACTAAATCCAGATATCTCCGTTTCTTTGACGAGATCTATTTATTTTAGAATGAAATAGATAATCAAGTATGAGATTATATTTTTTACGAATAATTATCGTATACGAACGCAATTCCTGCAGAGATATGTGGATTAAAAAGGAGTTTAACTTCCAAGAATTTGCTTATTTTTAATATTTATTTTTATTTTAAATTGATATGCATTAAAAATCGTGAATTAAGACCGTGGTTAGAGTCTCGCCACAAATGCTTTGAAGAGTTTGATTGACCAATCAGAAGAAAGAATTTTACAAACAAATTAACCAATCAGAAAATGCTTTAAAGCGTTTGTAGCATCACGTTGATCATACTCTAATAATGCAATTGCTGGAAGAAAGAAAGAAAAGTTCATTTTAACAAAAATAGGAAGGAATTTAAAAGCATTGTCTTCTAAAGATTGAAAGTTTATAATATTCAAAATAATAATTAAATTATATCAATTCCTTTTAATTCACTTATTTTTGCAGAGGCGATAATAATAAATTATATTGTAGCGATCTTACGATTCGGCAGGAGCGGACTCTGCTCGCAAATATTTCTGTATTTTTTTCTCTTAGCAGTTATTCGTTTTAAGAAATTGTTGATGCGACGATTGAAACACATTGCTGAAAAAGCATTCTAATTATTGTGATATTCTGTTACAAATAATTTTAGCAAAATGTTGTTTGCGCTTTAGAATATTAAGTGTCCAAACAACCTCGCCCGTAGAACACCAATTAATAGTAACACGATGTCAATGTTATAATTTCCTACTCAACAACCATATAACTGTTGTGTACAGCTTGTATTATATTACATTTGTGTTGTTGAGAGGAAAATTTATATTGATATAATATTTTAATGTAATATTTTTTGTTCTATTCTGCGGGCGTGTTATTTTTAAAGGACTGGATTTTTATTTTTAAAGGAATTTATCTCAAAGAAAACAAGAAAGTCAAAATAATTTATTATATTGATCGAATCGTGACAAAAAAATAACATAAATTCCAAAATTGGTCAATGTGATGCCAAATTGATATTATTTTAACTTTATTATTCTTCTTAGGATAAAAATTGGAAATGAGTTTATTTTCACGTTGTAGTTTATAATGTGGTAAACATAAAATATAATACACAAAAAGCTCAATAATGATAATTTTTGGATCTTAATATA